TATGATACAGATGCAAAAATCCAATACTGGGAAAAAAAATCCTGCAGCATATTATAAGGATCATATACTTTGACCAAGTGGGATTTATCCCAGGAATAAAAGAGTGGTTTAACATACAAAAAACAATCAACATAAAACATCACATAAATAGAACAATGGAAAAAAATATGATCATCTTAATTAATGCAGAAAAAACATTTGACAAAATTCCACACACTCTCATGATTTAAAAACTAGGACTAGATAGGAACTGCCTCAATATGATGAAGGATATCTATGAAAATCCCACATCTGGCTCAGCACCCATAGCACAGTGGTTACAGCCTGGCCACATGCACCACGGGTGGTGAGTTTGAACCCGACCGGGGCCTGCTAAACAACAATGACAACTGCAACCAAAAAATAGCTGGGCATGTGGCCAGTACCCATAGTCCCAGCGATGTGGGAGGCTGAGGCAAGAGAATTGCTTAAGCCCAAGGGTTTGAGGTTACTGTGAGCTGTGACGCCACTGAACTCTAATGAGGATGACATAGTGAGACTCTGCCTCAATAAAAAAAAAAAAAAGAAAACCCCACATCTATCACTATCACCAAATTTAACGGTATAAGACTGAAAGCTTTCTTCCTAAATTCAGAAACAAGGAAAAGATTCCCCCTTATACCACTTATATTAAACATTGTTCTGGATGTTCTAGACAAAGCAAAATAAAATTCTTTGTCATCTCTATTCTCAGATTATATAAAATAATATATAGAAAATTCTAATGTATCCACTAGGAGGCAGAGATGGTAGGATTGCTTGAGGCCAGGAGTTCAAGACCATCTTGAGCAACATAGCAAGATCACGTATACATAAAAAATAAAAATTAGCTGGGCATGTGGTGCATGCCTGTAGTCCCAGCTACTAGGGAAGCAGAGGAAGGAAGATCACTTGAGCCCAGGAGTTTAAGGTTGCAGTGACTGATTTTTGACAAAGATACCAAGACCATTCAATAAGGGGAAAATAGTTTCTTCAAAAAAATGGCACTGGGACAATTGGAAATCCAAATAAAAATATTGAAACCCTACATCACAATGTATACAAAAATGTACTTACAATTGATCAAAGACCTAAATGTTAGAGCTAAAACTTTAAAATTCTGAAGAAAACATAGGCCAGATCTTGATGACCTTAGGTTTGGCAATGGTTTCTTAGATACACCACCAAAAGCACGGTCAACTAAAAATAAATAAATAAATAAATAGGACTTGAATAAAAGTAAAAAGTTTTGCACATCAAGAAAGCGAAGCTTTTCAGAGGAATACAAATCAAAACCACTTTGAGATACCACGTAATTACAGTGAGAATAGCCCCCATCACAAAGTCCTAAAGCTGCAGATGCTGGCATGAGTGTGAAGAGAAGGGAACACTCTTACACTGTTGGAAAGGTTGCAAACTAGTGCAGCTTCTTTGGAAAGAAGTATGGAGAGTCCTCAACAAGCAAAAAGTAGACCTTCCATTTGACCCCACAGTCCCATTACTTGGTATTTACCCAGAAGAAAAAAAATCATTTTACCATAAGGACATTTGCACTAGAATGTTTATTGCAGCTCAATTCACAATTTCCAAGATGTGGAATTAATCCAAGTGCCCGTCAATGCATGAATAGATTAACAAACTGTGGTATATGTATGCCATGGAAAACTATTCAGCCATAAAAAGGTAGAGACTTTACATTTTTTGTGCTTACATGGGTGGATTTGGAGAACATCCTCTTAAGTATCACAGGAACGGAGAAGCAAGTGTCCAATGTACTCAATACCAATATGAAACCAGTAGATCAACAACTACACTCCCACAAGAGAGAAAAACACAGCTATGTTCAAATAGTGGGGGGAGGAGGAAGGAGGAAGGGGATTTGATGTGCTACCACCTAACAGGCACGAAGCAGGAGTATGTGGCACACCTGCTGGCTGACAGGCTCAACTACAACTTGGACTTTACCTAACAAACACAAACAATGTAACCTAATTATTTGTACCCTTATGTCAATCTGAAATAAAAAAAAAAAAAAGAAAATGATGCATTTCTCCAGAATGGGAGAAAACATTTGAAAATCACATGCATAATAAGGGTCCAGTATCCAGAACATATAAGGTACTATTACAATTGAACTACAAAAGTACAAACAAGCCAGTTTTGAAAAGGGCAAATGGCTTCAATAGGTAGGTTGTGGCAAATGTTCTCCATCTTGATGTGTGTGGTAACTACAAGGATGTTCACTTGGTGACAATTTGCTGACCCATACACTAAATATTTGAGAATTTTTCCGTTTGTGTGTCGTGCTTCCATAAAGGTTTCTTTTAGAATGCATATAAATAGAAAAAAAATTTCCTGTGACCCTGAAGCTTTAAATGTAAATGTCACAGTGTGTGACATATCTCTTGGGAGGCGGGACACAATTATAGGAAGGATTTTACCGATCAAATGCAATCAGAGTAACCTGATTCTCTTACCCTCAATAAATTCTCAACAATAAAGAAAAAGATAAAATAAAAATAAATACATGTAAATGTGTTTTTTCTGATTGCTCTATTATTATTAAAAACTATTGATCAAATAAGAAAAATGTTATAAACTTGGATAATTATAAAAAATTAAAATGTTATTGAATATCCCATGCTTGATATAGATGGATTTTTTGAAAATAGTTCGTATCATCAATAGATATTAGTTATTTCCAGAATAAAGCCTAGCTTACTGCCAATTATATTCCTATTTCTTATTTTCAGAGATGATATGTAAATGAGAATAGAAGGAATTTTGTTATACTAGAAATTTATAATTAAATTCTGTTATAATTATACATTTTCAGCCAAATATTATAATTTCCTTTAGAGTTGTATGACACAAAACACATATTGAATTATTACCAGTTTTTCCCAATGATATATCAGATGACCAATTTCCTGTCAATTCTGTTGACAGGAAAACACAGAAAATTATTTGCTATGCAGGATTTCCTACTCAGTCTTTTGTCCTTCCCTTTCCTAGACAGGATATTTTGGCTCCTGGAGTTTGATAAACTCTGGGGCAATCCACTATGATGGGCACAGGGCAGAAGGAAGTTGAGAGGGTAGTGAAGGGGAGATGGGAAAGAAAAATCTTGGAAGTTTCCCTCAGATGCATTTTTGGAAGAAGAGTGTATAGAATTGAGGATTTGAAAATAGATTCCATTAAAACTCCCTATGCCGAGTACCCCCTGGACAGTTTTTGTGCACTCTGGGTAAGTGTCCCTTAGTATGGAGATACCTAAGGACTCCTCAGGGATGATCCTCCGACTGCATCTCTAGGGGCCTCTGGGTCTCAAGCACCCAGGCTGCTGCTGACATGCAGACCTCAGAGATTAAGGACTCTCCCAAACCACTACAGGGAGTCCCCACTGTCTTCGAGGACTTTGGACAGCCCTGGGCAACTGGGGCTCTCCCTCATAGCACCTATTGCCAAGTTTCCCTCTGGAGCACTGGATGGCTCTAGCTGCTTTCCATCTACAGAATGAGACAAGAGTTAAGAGTGCTCAGAGAAAGCTGAATCTCTCTGGAGAGAAACAGGCCTCTGCACTTCCCTGCTACATCATTTCAGGCCTCTCTGTGCCCTCTTCCAGGGTCAGTTCCCAGAGGGCACTATGTACAGGGTGGGCTGAGTTGCAAAGGGCTGTCAGGTAGACAGGATAGTGGAGAAGATACAGTAACATGAAAGAGAAAAAGCAATTTTCAGAGGTGATTCCCAGGTATTTAGGACAGTCCACCCCCAGAGGCCAGCAGATCCCAGAGATTCCGGCAATGAATTCACCTTTGAGGTTGTAGTGACCAATGTGAAACGGCCCAGAGAAACGGATGGCAAAGGAGACTCATGGAAACCCAGAGCCAGTGTGGGATCATTGCCCAGAGGAGACCAGGCATGCTGGCAGTCTCAGATATAAAAGTGGTGAGATTAGGAAGAGGCACTGGAAGCTTCAACCTTAAGGGAACATATGCAGATTTTGTACCGACTCCTATTTATTGGTGCAGATTTGCCAACTGGATGAGAAAAAGGTACAGATGAAGTTGTCAGATCTATATATTCAGGAAATTTATAGATACCTAGCACTGGATCAGCATTTGGTAGAATTACTGGGCTTCTAAGGCAACCTCTGCCCTCAAAAGTACAGAAGTGCCTAATGCAGTAGTTCTCCCAATGGGGTTCCTGGAGCATCAGCATACGTGAGAATTTTTTAGCAATGCCAATTTTTGGACCTACCTCAGACCATATAATAGAGAATCTGGTGGTGGGGACCAGCAATTGGTATTTAAACAAATTCTTTCAGGACAAACATTGAATTTTCTCTTCCTGTTCTTGAGTAAAGTTCCTGGAGCCCTGTGCTTGGTTGTTCATGCAGACAGAATGGTAACCATTGAAATTTTTCCTAACTCAGCAATTCTCTTTGAGCTCCTCTTCAAGCAGCAGCTTCCAATCTTTTTAGCATCAGGGACCAGTTTCATAGTCCATTCTTTCATGGATAGGGGAGGGGAACATCTGACAGGAGGCAGAGCTCAGGCAGGGATGCAAATGATGGGGAGTGGCCATAAATACAGATGAAACTTTGCTGGATTGCCTGCCTACTCACCTCCCACTGTGTGGCCTGGTTCCTAACAGGCCACAGACTGCTACTGGTTGTGGCCCTGAGAAGGCTCTGTATCTCTAGGGGAAATGGTTTCAATGGCTACCATTCTGTCTGCATGAACAACGAAACACAGAATTCAGGAACCTTTACTGGAGAACAGGAAGAGAGAATTCAATGTCTGCCCTGGAAGAATTTGTTTAGACTACAACTTTAGAGGACATAAATACTCAAATTTTCCATCTCTCCCATGACCATCATATATTTGACAAGCACCTTATACATGAATAATTTAGAAGACTGAGGGTGGGGAAGCTCTGAGTGATCACATAGAGACAGACAGCTATAGATATCTGACAGCTATATTTTCATTCTTTTATCTTTTATTTACAAAATAGTCATGTATCAGTCTTGTGCTAGGAAATGAAGATACAATGCTGAATAAGAGAGACAGCTTAGATTCCTTTCTTTGAAGTATGACATGTATCCCTCCCAAATTTTCTGTTGAGGACAAGTTACTATCATTGGGTGCTGCATAATTTTATATTCTTTTATCACCATATGGAGGATGAAGTTCCATATGGTGACTTTCCTCAAACTAGAGACACTGGACAGGCTTCTCTTCTCTTATGGAGTTTCTGGTGTCTAAGAAGGCTCGACCGCCTGCTAAAGTTTCTCCTGCATATGCTACAAGTATAAGGCTGCTCACCTGTGTGGGTTCTCTGGTGTTTAATAAGGTGGGAGTTCTGAACGAATCTTTTTCCACATTCATGACATTTAAAGGGTTTCTCTCCTGTGTGAATTCTTTGGTGTGTGTGTAGATTTGTGTTATGACTAAAGCTTTTCCCACACCATGAGCATTTATATGGTTTTATTCCTTGGTGTGTCATGAAATGTTTATTAAGATCTGAACTCCATCTAAATCTCCTATCACACTGTTGACATTTATAGGGTTTCTCTTCAGTGTGAATTCTCTGGTGCTTAATAAGATCAGAGCTAACTCTGAAACTTTTTCCACATTCCTGACATTTAAAAGGTTTCTCTCCTGTGTGGCCTTTACCATGAAGATTCTCTCCTGTGTGGTCTTTACCATGAAGATATGTAAGTTTTGGAAGATCTTCTTTACAAGTTGAAACTTTCCTTCTTTTCTTCCTTGGAAAAGGTTGATGCTGTTTCCGTACTCTAGTTTGCTGGACAACTTTCATTCTGCTATTTTTTGACACTTTGCATCTTGGTGTTTGTATTTCTGATGCAGAAACAGATATAGGCTGATCATTTCCAGTGTCATTTCTGAGCATTAACCCTGTTAGAATAAACAGAACAATCAGCCATCTGTGTCTCAGTGTAAGGAAACTACACAAATAGAAAAAAAAAATCAATGATCATTGCTTTTATTTATTTATTTATTTTTGAGACGGAGCCTCAAGCTATTCCCCTGGGTAGAGTGCCATGGCATCACGCTCACAGCAACCTCCAACTCCTGGGCTCAAGCGAGTCTCCTGCCTCAGCCTCCCAAGTAGCTGGGACCACAGGCGCCCGCCACAACGCCTGGCCATTTTTTGGTTGCAGCCATCATTGTTGTTTGGCGGGCCCGGGCTGGGGATTTGAACCCGCCACCTTAGGTGTATGTGGCTGGTGCCTTAGCCGCTTGAGCCACAGGCGCCAAGCCGATCATTGCTTTTAAAAAGCATATTGGAACAAGTGATTTCTAGTCCATTTCTCCTTGATCCTCCCTGATGGACACAACAAACGCACTAAATAATGTAAGAGATACCCAAAAGTAAATTCTAAAAAGTGGTTAAGAAAAAGTCAAACTGTATTTGGACCCCAGAACTGGAAGAATAACATAGCAGGCTATCTTACACCCCCACATCCAACAGAAGAAGACAACCAGATCCAGGGTTTTCAAAGCTTCAACCTACCAAAACAAGGCTACTTGGTGAGACTGATTCCTTCTCTAGCATGAATGGACAACCTTCTGACAACATGAAGTAAATCAGACCTCACTGGCAAAGGGGACCTGCCCAGAGTTGTGTCAACCGTATGTGGCGAGGAGAGGAACTTGTCTTCCATACTGGGCTAGATAGAGACTTTCCACAACCCAAGCTGAAAGATATACAAGTAGAACTGCCAATAGGGACCCAGCCACATCAAAAGGAATTGGATGGGAAGCGTCTTTAACACTGTAGATATGATGAGAATCCCTCTGCTCAATAGGAGACACCAAAGTGGGCAGGCAGAACTGGCAAGAGGGATCCAGCCACAACAAGCTGCCTAGGCTAGAAAATCTCTTCATCCTTGTTCATCTAAGACTACCTTTCCCCACTAACAGACACTCTGGCCTAATAAACATGGCTTCCATGCTCCCAGGCAGAACCCTTGAGGACCCATGAGAGCCCTAACAGTACCAGATAAACCAAGGAGACCAAATGAATGCCATAAAGGCTCTGAAAACTAAATTGTCACTAGAAGCATGCCTTTTGAAAGAAAGAATCTCCATGCTAAACTAAAACAGGATGACTGCTGAAATAAAATATTATTTAAATAGCACCTAGACTCTCCCAACATAATGGACAGAATGATCAGGATACAATAAAAAAATCACTCATCAGACGAAGAACCAAGAAATTGATAATTTGAGAAATGTAAATCTGACAAAAATGTAATCAGACTAAAAATCAAAAACAGAAAACAACAAGAAAATCAGTGGAAATGTAACAATGCACTTATAAATAACCCATGGTTCAAACAGAAAGTCTCAAAAGATATTTTAAAATAGGGTTGAATGAACATAAAATTACAATATATCAAAATATATGAAATTCAGTGTTTGGAGCAGGGGTCCTCAAACTTTTTAAACAGGGGGCCAGTTCACTGTCCCTCAGACCGTTGGAGGGCCGGACTGCGGGGCCTGGGATGAGTCGGGTGCTAAGCAGGACAGGCAGTGGCGGCAAAAACACCCAGTGGGCTGGATAAATGTCCTAGGCGGGCTGCATGTGGCCCGCAGGCCGTAATTTGAGGACACCTGGTTTGGAGGAACATTCATAGCCCTAATTGTTTACAACAGAAATAAGGAAAGACCTCAAATCAATAACCTTAAGTTCCTACCTTGAGAAACTAGAATAAAGGAAAATAAGCCCAAATAAGAATAAAAAAATGGAAATACCAAAGAAAGCAGGAGTCATAATAAATATTTTGTTCTTCAAATAGTTAATAAAATTGGCAAAACCATCAAGATTGACAAAAAGTTTAAAAAAGAATACACAAATCACCAATATCAAGAAGGAAATAGAGCATATAACTACACATTCTACAAGAACTAAAAAGATAAGGGAATACCATGAACTTTATGTTCCTGAGTTTTAAAAGTTAGGAAAAATGGAACAATTCCTTCACAACTACAAACTACCAAAATTCAGCTAATACAGATACAGATAACCCAAACAACACTGTCACCATTAAAGAAACTAAATTCATATTTGAAAAGCTCTCCCAAAATAAATTTCCAGATCCAGATGGTGTGGGGAGGATTCCACTAAATATTTAAAGAATTAACAATTGTATGTAATCTTTTTCAGAAAAGAAGAGTGAAGGAAATACTACCCAACTCATTTCATAAGGACAATATCACCCTGACAACAAAACCATACAAAGACAGTTCTAAACAACAATAAAAAAACTACAAACTAACATTTTCCAAGAGCTTACATGCAAAATTTGTCAACAAAAAAATTGGCAAATTCAATGCAACAATGCATATGAAGAATTATATACCATAAGCAAGTGGGATCACTGTATTTCTGCCAAATTGGTTCAACATATGAAAATCAATCAACATCCCCACCTTATCAACAAACTAAAGAGAATAAATCATATGCTTCCATCAATTGACACAGTAAAAGTATTTGACAAAATTCTACATCCATTTATGATAAAGAACAGACATAAAGTGAGGAATTATATCAACTTGATAAAGAATATCAGCAAAAAGCCCCATCATAGGTAATAGTGATGACCTTTACTAACATGTAAGTAATAGGACAAGAGCAGGTTTGTAGGGGTGGGGACAAGGGTATGATAAATCAAGAATTCTATTTAGAATGTGGAAGTAAGGTATGTGTATTTATAAGAAGCTCTCCACATGACCTAGATAAGCTTTTTCTTCCCTGCACCCTATCAAGATGAGAACCAACCAGCTACTGGAACACTAGGGCTCTCTCAGAGGGTCCATTTTTCATAAATGGAGGATATAATGCATTACTCAACTTTTACACACAGGGAAAGAATATTTACCTACAGAGATGACAGTTTCATAGTTATCCTGCATTACATTATTGTAGAGAGTCTTTTTAGAGGTATCCAATAATTGCCATTCTTCTTCAGAAAAATACACGGCCACATCTTCAAACGTCAACAAACTCTAAAGAAGAGAATGGGCTGTAGTTTAGTACTTGCCATGACAGAAGCTGTCCTACCACCCATCTCTGAATGACATGGTAATTCAGGAACTGAAGAAGTTAACGGCACAAGATTTAGACAGAAAAAGGGAGACAGTAGAAAGGAAGGAGCAAAGAGGATCAGTAAACAGCCTGGGAGGTACCCAATTCCCACTGTGCCAAGCCTAGTTGCCTAGAAAACATCTGGGGCTAACACGCCTCTAAGCACCTGCTGGACAGTATGAGTCCTAGACAGCTGGGGCAGGCAGAGATAAGGCCATGGTCAGGCCACCTGAAAAAGCTAGAAAGTACAGCTCACCTGGGACTTAGGCAAGGTGAGCTCAGATGCCATCTTCCGGTCTTTGGTGATTTTCTGTTCAGAAAGGGCTAAAATCTGTTGAGCATGCACAGCTGTAGATGGAAAAGAGCCAGAGAAAATTTCTCCCTTTCCTGTTTATAAACATCCTGAGCTGATTTCTACAATACAGAACATCAGGATGCCTTCAATAAAGGTAGGTCACCTTGACAAGCATGAATGGTGCCCATAAGTGGCCATCTCATTGTAAATAAGAACCAACTATCTACCACTCACAGAATTGGTTCCCCAGTTCACTATTTCCTCAGACTTCATGAGAGAAATTAATAAAAGGAAATATATTAATTTGTCCTCTCATAAAATAAATTGTTCATTGAGCTGAGAAAAAAAATTAAAGTTCTGAAAATGAAGGACTTAGGTCCCCACTGTACAGCCGGAAATATGGAAGATTTTTGTCTCTCTCTCTTTTTTTGAGACGGAGCCTCAAGCTGTCCCCCTGGGTAGAGTGCCATGACATCACAACTCATAGCAACCTCCAACTCCTGGGCTCAAGTGAGTCTCCTGCCTCTGTCTCCCAAGTAGCTGGGACCACAGGTGCCCGCCACAATGCATGGCTATCTTTTTTGGTTGCAGCCATCATTGTTGTTTGGCAGGCCCGGGCTGGATTCAAACCCGCCACCTTAGGTGTATGTGGCTGGCGCCTTAGCCACTTGAGCCACAGGTGCCGAGCCAGATTTTTATCTCTTATTATTTTTTTTCCTCATGTACAATTTTCTTCACCTCTTGCTACTAACAGCTCATGTCTGATCCCAATTTCTCCTGCAACTTGTAAGAGTGTGGTGGCTCCACCTGTCCCTGCTCCATTTTCTTCTCTTCTCTCAAATTTGAAAGGGGCAGAGTCCACGGTGTGAATATTAGGGTTCTGTGGTGTAGATATCTCTCTTCACTCACCTTCACCCACCTTTGACCTACTATACTCTCATGTGGGAGACATCATAGCTGCTAGCATGGCTGGGCACCTGGAAATTTCCCATGACTTTCTAGCTGAATCATTTATTATCACAGTTGCCAGAAGAGAATTATGATGAAGCGCCTCACCTCTTTCATATACAGGCTGGCTTTCTTTGTGAGTATTCCAGCCCAGCTGTTCTTGTAGTACCTGGTATGTATTCCAACATTCTTTCTGGAACATACCCATTGGTTGGGGCTCTGCTGGCTTCCACTTAAAGCCTGGCGCCATTGCTGTTCCTCCCAAGAGCACTGCCTCCTTTCCCAGATCATAAGCTGTGACCTAGAAATAATCCCCATCCTCATTAGCACAGAACTTACTTTTGCTTTTGGGGTAGCGGTAGAGGGAAGAACAAGTGTAGAGCCCAGATTTGGTAAGTGTGTGACATTAAAGGAAGTGATAAAGAAACTGAAGAATACTGGGTTATATTCTCATAAAGAACTATACTCAAGATCTGGGAACATATGGAAAAAGCTATGACTAACACCACTTCGCCCCAACCCAGTGGTTTCCAACGCTGTGCATGGAGTCCCAGTTCAAGCTAGTAGCAGGGTTGAGCAGGTTGCCTGTTCCCCTTCACTGGCTTGCTTTATTGCTTTAGGTCCTTGCCTTAGTAGATTTCTATCTCCTAGTTTTTTCTAAAAGATACAGAATTGAATAAAAAAATTCATTCCTGTCAGCCAGAATTTCTAATCTTCCCATAGCCAGGGAAGGATTTCATGAAGAAAGAGGATGAAATGGAGGAAAAGATGGGGGAAGAAGCGTTGGGTTGCAACCTCTCTCCATATAATCTGGTAAGACACCGAAAATATGTTCTGCCTTGGATTCTTCAAAGTGGGCTCCTGAGAAAAGGAGGTGTGCTTCCGCCTTCCAGAGGCATACCTTGGTTCCCCACTCTTCAGTAGGGCCAAGGACAGTCCAAAAATGGAGGTCAGTGGAGCCTCTTTTCTCCTGGCCCAGAGACGTGTCTTCCCACTAGAGAGGACATTACCCCTCAGAATCCTTATTTCCTCCACTTCTCTGTTGGCATTTGTCTTCTTTCTATATCTTATCTGTTTATTTCCTCTCTCTCTTTCTTTGCAGTCTCCCTAGAGTTGTTTGATTTATATTTCTGTGGTTTCTATAAGCACTGTCCATTTTTTTGACCTTTCCTCCTTTCCCAACTCTTTCTGGCCTTTTATTTCTGTTTCTAAGAACTTAAGTCTTGTCTCCTTGGCCATGCCTGACTAGGCCCATTACCCTCAATTCACCCTGGCTTTAAAGAAGACAAAATGTATTTCTTTTCTCTAAGGCCAGGAACTCTGAAACCTGTGGCCTGATTCTACATGTGTATAATTTCAGATCCTACCTGTCTTAAGGAACAACAGAAGAGTGACTTGATCTACCTTATTCCCTGACAACTCCCCATCTCAATATATCTAACTTTATCTTATTTCATTGTACAAGTAAGCGATCTTTCTTCTTACCTCATTCTTTGTTCCAGCAGGTTTTCTCTGCAAGCATTCTACCAGGATCACAGCCTGTTTGATGTCCTGGGGATGATGCTTTTGCACCCAGTGCTGGGTCTCCTTGGGCAGAGTGGTCAGAAACTGCTCTAGCACTAGCAATTCCAAGATCTGCTCTTTTGAGTGGATCTCTGGCCTCAGCCACTGATGGCATAATTTCTGGAGTTGGCTGACAGCCTCGAGTGGCCCAGGTGCTTCATGATAATTGAAGCTCCGAAAGTGCCTGCGAGCGCTCTCAGGATCAAGACTCTCTATTTGTGTGCTGTGTTTCTTACTCTGACTGGAGCTCTCTTTCATAGACCCCTTAGTCTTCCACATAGATCCCATCTGGGGGTTGAAGTACTTATCCGCCTTCAGTTCTCTCCTCATCATTTGCTCTAGGAATGTCCTGTGTTTGAAGGTGACACTTGCTGGTGCACCTTTGTCAACTGAGGCCCCGTCAGGTTTGGTACAAAACCAATGAACGGATCTTCTTTCCAAAGGAACTGAGGGAGAGCAGAAAAAAGCACATGTCAAGAAATATTTACTTGCTATGTATTATCATAAAAAAAAAGTTAAATATTGTCTGGGCAACAGGTGATCTTCTGAGGAGTGAGCAGTTAATCCCAAAGTTGATACAGCTGTACAAGATGGAAACTAGAGGCCTCAACTGGTTTCACAGACCC